GAAAAATGATTGCTCTTTCAGGTTTTGAATCAAGTTTCATGTTAAATATACAGGGTAAAAAGTTATTAACTAAATTTTCGGTAAAATTGGTCATAACTGGCGCCCTCTATGAGCAATGCTGAAATTACAACACGCATCTTATTCGTCGCCTAAAAAAACATAGTTTCACAAATTTTCAAGTTCCTAACCTATATATTTTCAGAATAATCGCAAAAAAACGGTTTAAAATTTTAACTTTCAACACTCTGTATTTCCGAAACTATCAACTTTCGGATAAGGCATTTTTGCGCCAATGGTCACCATTTCACGTGTAGTATCTTCAGCTTTCGATTTTCCCATTGTTAATGAATCACCCTGTATAAACCCAAAACTTATCAGTCTTCTCACTCTTAACGCAGATGGAGTATAAACAATTTGGAAAATATATAAAAACAGTATCAAACAAAATAGTAGGCACTGAAAGAAAAATGTCAGTAAAAAGCATGAATCTTTTGGGCTCTAGTAAATAGCAGTCCTTTTCTAGCATTTCTTTATTATAAAATAAACCTGACAAAAATGTAAATAAAAAATGAAAATAAGAAAAAAAAATTTATTAAAACGCTGAAAATCATGAATCTCGGGCAGCCATAAATAACAGTCCTTTTCTAGTTTTTCTTTATTTAAAAAAAAATTGGAATTGTGCATTGTCACAACATTGTTCTTTTCGAAAATGTTCATCTAGTCATAACAAAATTGGAAAATAGAGAAAAAACAGCAACAACAAACGTTCTCAAAAACTGCTTTAGACCAAATACTAAAACGATAAGCAGGAGCCACTAGTCTTTCTGATTGCCATAATCTCTTAAAATTTAATTATTTCTTATTTGGATTAAGTAATTTTTTATTATAAAACTATAAATAGCACATAATTTAAAAACTTTGTAGTTTTACTATGATGCCCCCCCCCCCTCTTTCTTTTATCCACAGCATGATTAGTTCAGTCACAAAATGAACTGTTTGGTTGCTGATAAGCATTGTTAAGAAACACTTTTTTCTTCAAACTTCGTGAGCTAAGATACTCAAATCATTGAGATTGATCTTCCTTATAGGTAAGTAGATTGAATTTTAACAATTATTTAACATGCATATATACTGAAACCCCTAGAAAAATATAAAAAAAATATCTTTCAATGTCACAAGTGAATAAAAGTTTTCCTAGTAGGATGTAGAATTTTTAAAATTTTTATTATGGTTAGAACTTGTATTATTAATACCAAATTGAAAAATGAAAGCTTTTGAAACCTTAATTAAAAAAAAGTATTACCAAAATTTAACTGTTAATTTCAAAGTTGAGACATTGGTTCATATAAGTACTGTAAATATGCTATGTGGAACTGAAGTATATGGTGTGGACACAAAAAAATGGAATTTTGCAATTCTGACTTCAAGTATACATTGGCATTCATTGATGAATGGTGAATGAACAGTAAATTCGCACAAATAGTCCAAAAGCCATAGCCAAGATAAGCCTAAGAGAAAATTAAAAGAAGAACCATGATGTCCACAAATTTTGACTCAGGAGTTTAAATTGTCGTTAAATATTTGTCTAAGTTAAATGAGTATTGTTAATATCTTTATATTCTTACTTTTTACAGGGTTCGTAGCGGCCGGGAAAACCGGGAATACCGGGAAAAGTCAGGGAATTCGTTATTCTTCATAAAAAACAGGGAATAGTCAGGGAATTTTAAAAATATTCATGAGTCAGGGAATTTAATGTTTGCAACTGGAAATTTTGTGAAAGCCGGCCCTGTGTTCTTGAAAGAGAAAACTATTTGTGGTTTTGAAACCTTTATAAGAGGTTCTTAGGGTATAAAAAAGATTATGGAGTCCAGTCGAGAAAAAATTTAATGCATAAACACCAATTAGTATGTAAAAATGAACTACAAGTGACCTGGATTTTATTTTAATAAGTCAGGGAAAACCTGGAAAAGTCAGGGAATTCTTCATTACTTTTGAACTATGAACCCTGTTTTACATTGTAGTTCATATAAGAGGTTACTCTTAAAATGAATAAATATAATATTCTTAAATTTAACGAGGACAACATTCTTTCATATTTGATATGTGTTACATACTGTATATACTATTGAAAGTTTTTTGTGACTGACACTATACCCATTTCTACTACAAATTTAGGATTTAGGATAAATAATAGTAAAGAAGTAGGTAACAGATTGGCACAGCTTTACCAATACAAAATATATAGAAAAGAGCTTTAAATACTTACATATTTATTAAAATCTTTTATTTTATATTAATAACAATATGTTTTTAGTTAACTAAAAATAAAATATATTATCTGACATATTAAGCTGTTGCATAATAGTGGAAAAATTTTCAACATAATGATAAGGATGTTTATATAATTTAGCACAACTACAAATACGAATTTATTTTCCAGTTTAATAACTTGATAATATTTACTGATCATGCGATTATATTATGAATTACCGCTGTAGTCTCTCTTACCAAATAAAGAGCTAAATAATTCAGTTTTTCCTTGATCTGTCCACAAATGGTCGTCAATAGGAGCCATAAAATTTACAAGTTTTGTATGCACGGTGTATCTAATTTTTCTACCCTTTGTTGCTTTTGTATCAATTTTTCTTTTCATTTTACTTCTTAATTTTTGCAACTGAATCCACTGTCTACCAAGCTGAATAGGATCTGTCAAATCTGCTGATTTTACTTCAATTAACTCTCTCAATAACTGATGATAAAAATCATCATCATCATATATTTCAGTATTATATTCCTCCACAGAAGTTTTTTCCTCTTTTAATTCATTTTCTACAGGAGCCTCTTGTCCTATAATAGTATAATCACTTCTTTTTAATTGAGTTCTTTTAACTAATTTTTCTCTGTCGCTTAAAGTATGTTCAATATGATTAAGGACAGAATGAGAACTAGTATTATTTTTCAACGTAGCAATTCGTGTTTTGTCATTCCACTTTTGAATAACACTATTTCTATAGTTTTTATACAAATTATGCCTTCCATTAATATAATTTTCAAAATCATTTAATTTTCGTTTCTTAGTAGGAATTTCACTTTCACTTTCTTCTTCATTGGAAGGTAAGTCTTCGTCTGTATCACTAGGAATTTCCTCATCATCTTCATCTTCTCTTAGGGCTTTTTCATTGCTTTTATTTAACTTTTTCGTTTCTGGGTACTTACTTAGACTTAGTTTTTGTAATAACATTAATTTATCTAATAGACTGGTTAACGAGTTTTTCGTTACAGCAACTTGTTCTGAAAATTCCTGACTGGACTGTTTCTTAATTTCAAGATACTTATCTTTTTGCGGCATTTTGTTCGCTGATATCAAACATTTTTGTAGTTGAATCCTTATTTCTAATAGATTTTCCCACGCACTCATCTGATTTCTAACACATAATCCTTTTTTTATTTGTGCGTTTCCATCTACTTCTTTGAAATTTCTGAAAATTTCCGTACTTTCTGTTACCGATTCATCAGCAAAACTCTCATTATGACTCCCACCTCCATCAGATTCTTCACTTTGTGCTTCATCTTCCTGATCAATTTCTTCAGAAGAATCAACAGATTCACTACCCGTTCCATTGTCATCATCTTCAATCTCAAATTTGTCAAGATTTGCTGTAATATAATAAAAAAGTTGGATGAAAAACCAATGAGTTTTTTGGATTACAAAATAGCACTTTATTACTGTATTTAAGAATGTATTTAAGTATTAACAAAAATACATACACTTAACGCAATTTCAATTAATTGAATTTCAGAACTAGTCCAGAATTACGAAATTCTGAAAGTATATAATGTAGCTTGTTCTAGGTATGCCTCTGGCAGGCAAATTTAAATAACCCCGCATGCTGCCTCTGTGACCGCATGCTAGTTTCAGTCTTTTAAAAAAAGTTGGTTGGTTATTAATTGTCAAAATGACAGCACATTTGTTCTGTAATATAACATTCTACAAAAATAAAGATATAGTCCTCCGCTAATCATAAACAATTAATTTTGTTATTCAATCGATCATATAAATATTATTACTCGTAAAAGAGAAATATACTTACATTGTTCAAACTGATCGTCTTTTTCGGAAAAGTCCTCATCAGAATCATGTAAACTTTTTCTACTTGCTTTTTTACCTGCATACCGTTGGTCTTCATCTACTAACAATTCAAAATTTTGCCTTCTAAACGTGCTTAATATCTCATCTTCATAATCTTCAGACAAGTTTTCTATTAATTTTGCACGTGTCTCATCTATTTCATCATCTTCTGGATCAAAACTAGCAGGAGTTGTATTTAAAACACCAGCAATTTGATCAGCTAAACTCTCTTTGTTGGATTTTTTCATTTTAAATAATAATGGGTACACATGAACGTTAGTTTATGTTTGTCTATTATAGTGCACATTTATTTTGTTTACAAAAAATATTTTAGGTTATCTTCCACTTCTTCTGGCAACTTCAATGTACAGGCACAGCTTAATAATACACAGCTAGAAGAGTCCGTGTCGGCGCCTTTGATGTGGCGGTAGAGAACCAAGCGCGACGGAATCGTGCTAACTCTCTCAGATTAAGCGGAATAGTCGGGGATAAGTTAAAAGAATTTTTATTATTGAAATAAAATATTTAGGTTCTACCTGACAGTACCGTATTAGGTAATTTTAATAATATGAAATTTGAATTAGAAAATTGCGTGGTATGACATTAAAAGTAGAAAATGGGTATTTTAGATAGGTTTTGTACTTAGAATTAATACGGATTATTAAAAGAAAACTCGAAGAGTAATTAAAATTCCTTGTTGTAAGCTCCTGTTTACTGAAGTAATCCTTAGAGAAGAAAATGGTTAAAATCGCGTTTTTTTCGAACATCAAATTGTTAATATCTCGAAAACGGTAGATTTCAGAGAAAAGTTGCATATGAACCTTTTTGTTCAGGATACCCCAAAAGCCTATAAAAATGTATTTCGAGCGAAAAAATCGAAAATTACGAATTTGATTAAAAAAAATTGTTTAAACAATTTTTGACCATTAGAAACGTCTGGCAACATGCCGACATGTTTCAAGGGTAATTTTTTTAGTAAGATTATGAAATAAAAATCGAATGAGAATCATGTTCCTAGCCTAGCGGGAGTAACGATACAGCCTGGACTAATATTTATACATATACAAATGTTATTTTTTGTGGATAATTGTTAAAAATTATCTTGCAATATCTTTTCAGTGTTACAAATTAGCTCAACAAAGTTATAGTTTGGCATTTGCAATTGTCCAAATAAAGTATCTTCATTTTCATTATATAAAATAAAAATAAATCAACGAAATTATACCCACGCCTATGATTGCAACCCGTTGTCGTTACCCGCCTGAACGAACGCCAAAGCCGTCTTTTCCGCTGGAAGGCGGGGCATAAACGCTGCGCGGCGGAATCGACGCTAACCGTTCCCGCCAAGACAGTTGTCAAGCTGTATAAGCTGTGGTAGTGTAAGTGTCCGTTTTAATTACAAACCTAAATTTTTTAAATTTTTGTTTTGTAATGTCAATGAAGACAAACATATTTTTTTAAAAATTTAAGTTTATTAACAAAACAAAGGAACAAGTATAAATCTGTAATAAAAATAAATTGTGCGTGATAGTGTCACAAAATCCAAAAAGGCAGTGGAATATATCATTTGTTCAGTTCTTGAATCTTTTGCTTCATATACATGTCTAATTGGGAATAGTCCAAAAGAGTATTTTGAACAAATCCATGCATAACAGTCGGCCATTCTTGTTCTAAGAGGGTTAATTTATTCATTGCACACGTCATTTCTTCCAATAAACCGGATATATGTTGTTTCGCTTTTTGTCTTAGAAGGTTGTCCTCCTGCAATTAAATTACCATTTCCATTAAAAAAATTCAATCTATCAATGACTGATAGCATTTAATATATTTGAAATGAAATCGTTACATCTTTATACAGCTATACAGCGTTGTTGAAGCATATAACTTTTTGCAATTCAATTAAATGGCACTTCAGCAGGCCTTTTGATTTGTCAAAAACTGTATTTTTGACAAAATGAAAGACCCCAGGGAACACGAACATCTCATTAAAAATACATTACAAATATGTTGCAGCGCCACTCCATGCATTATGTGAGTATCACACGATGGGACAAAAAAGTACAAGGTTATTTATTTTATTATAAATGTCAGTTTAATTACTTTATAACCAAACCTCGACCAAGTCTCAGTTGATGCGACATAATTATTTAGACCCATAGACTATGGAATGACCATTCTGTCATGCTAATGTTAATGTTAAAATGCCTAGTTTTTCATAATTGAGGTTTAGATGTTTTATTATGCTAACTTTGCGCTACATTAATAATTAAAATTTAAAATATAAACATTAATAAAATTATGCCCTGGAAAACAATTAAAAATGTTTAAAAATCACAATTCTTTTCTAGTTTACTGCTTTGCACATGTCTATAAATAACAAACAAAGTAAAGTAATCCACATTAATAAAATTTAAACAATCCCCAGGTATTTTTATTTAAATTTTTGACAAAAACTACTCAGACAACAATAATTTGACAACTAAATTGACAAATGTCAAGCTATTTCAATTGTTTTTGGAGTATTTCTGGTCATGGCCAATTTGACAACAGATCTGATATGAGAAAAATTGTGCAAAAAATAGAAAATTGCAAATATCTCTAAAAGTAGTAACGGCAACCCTAACAATGCTTACATCGCTTGAATTATAATCTGCATACGACAGAGTAAAAAATACAGGGTGTTTCATTTAAGTTAACAAAGTTATAGATGTTTGAAGTTATCAAAATGTAACAGCAAAAATGAAACACCTAGTATTAAATGTTTTAATTTGTTGGTAAACAATAATTTAGCCTTAGCTACCAAAAATCCACTTGATATCAAATTCCTGAAAAGAGTCCTAGCGTCTCCGTAGACCCTTGCATCTGTCAAATATTTTCTTTAAATATGAATGTATCAAATTCTATAACTCCTAGGTATAGGGAATATTTAATAAAGTGACGCTCAAATTCACATAGAATCCGAAAATGCAATAATATATCCCATTTAAAATATCAAAATTGACGTCAACTTCCGGTATAACCGGAAGTTTTACAGGAACAAAATTATTATATTTGAAAAGAGCACACCCAAAAACACTAGTGTGCCAATTTTCAAAATTGAAATCGAAGTAGGTTCTGAAATAATGTATTAGGACACTGACTGAGTGAAGACAAGTTGCCAAGATTAAATTTAAGAATTTTAAGTCATAATTAAATCACCTCGAAGGCGACGCTGCTGCAAGTCTGTGAGATGCTGCTGCTTCTGTGTCGAACACCACACAGAAGCAGCGTACTCAAGAATTGGCCTCACATAACTGCAGTAAGTGCAGTTCAATTTTTGATAAAAAAAGGGGCAGTCATTTGTCTATAAATAATGTTCAAATTATTTATTGAAAATCCAGTAACTACTTTTCTTCGGAATGTTATTTTAAAGATATGGTTAAAATTTGGAGTGAATAGAATGTAATTTGTTGGAGTTATGCTGTGTGCCGTTTGAAAATACTTCTAATTACTCTTTCTAATGACATCTATTAGTAAGTATTAGAGAAGATAGAAAAAATAAAAAGTTACGTTATTAGGCTGTACCCTTCCTTTAGGTACATATGTCCATAGGAAGTAGTGATGTGTAAAATCGGATTATTTCAATAATCGGATACTGATTTGAATGATTTCAGTAATCGGATAGTTATATGAATGATTAAATCGACCCAGAAAGTGCACAAACACAAACACAAATGAAATTATTACCCACCAAATTATTTACAGCAAGCTGGTTAATATTTCAGATTCTCTTAGCAACAGCTGATTGTTTGTTAAGAGATAAGCCGATTAACAAACATGCCAGGAAGGAATTTTGTCCTTCAAACTTGACCGAGAGGGCACTGTTAACTAACTCGACTAGTCGCTAAAATTTGACATACTAATATAAGATTAACATTCAAATACACCCCAGAATAATTGAATTCTTCCAAATATTTTAATAATCGGATTATCGAATATTTTTCATTCAAATTATAACCACTAATAGGTAGTTGTTTCAGAGCAGTCCGGTGAGCTTGGAAAAGAACTCCGAATTAAAAAAAAATATATTGTTTAGTCGTAAAATTTCTTTTCCCTTATTCTAGAACATTCAAAGCATCTTTTAAATCAATAAAAAAATAGATTTTCTGAAAACTATGCAGTAGTCTAATCCCTTAAATATTTTACAATACTTCTAGAATCTTGTACCTGTGAAAGCGATCCCTTCCTCCACTGGAGTGCTTCCTTACTGACAACACTTTTTAACTCAGGATCAGCTGATAACAACCATTTCTTTGCATTTTGTTCTGGGACACCATGATTTATATCTATTCTTAATCTAACAAGAAGTGGCTGCAATAATACATCTGGCAGTGACCATAATACTAAATCGCTCAGACTTTGATACTCCTCATTTGCTTTTTTAATGTCTTCCTCCGAGATCTTAAAAAAATATATGTTATTACAAATAAAAATATTTTGTTAGTAGCATTAAGTACTAAAAAAAATAATTAGGCACATTTTTTCCTAAAATTGACCTAAAAGATATAAAAACAATTACCTCTTTATCATTAATAGTTTTTAAACCCCAATGTGCTAATCTAAATATTGCATAGTTCTGCCAATTTTTCTCACAAATGGCATTTCCTTCGGGATCTATATATAAGGATGTTAACCCCTGAATTTCTGCCAAAGCATTTAATTGTGCTATGCAAGTTATATTTGTCTCCTTAAAAACAAGATTTTCTATATTTGGGAATCTGTGTTTTAATTTTGACAATATTCCTGTTATACTATTAAAATTAACATAGTTAAATTTAACAGTAACAACGTCATGGGCTTTGCCAGAATTCCACGGTTTGTCAATGAATCTTAGAGCACCTTGGCCATAAATATTTAGGTATCTACCACAAATTTCAATCAGATAGTCTCCGCCTGGAATGTTAAAAGACATTACTCTCGATTACTTATCAAAGAAACTATTTTTTTTTAAGAAATTAGTTTACAAACCTTGTTCTCTATCCTTTGGAAGAGCAGGCGAGGACTGTTTTCTTGTTTTAGCTGTTGATGCTCTCGAGTTAAATTTGGGAGGAATGGTTTTTCCATGTACTGCACTTTTTATATTTCTTGTCACCGATTTATTACTAGAATTGTCACTGCTAGAATTACTAGGCACTGATATATTAGATGCTGTTGTTGCAGATAGGTTACTTGAAGTTTCAGTTGTATTACCGCTGTTGGTTTTAGCTTGGGTTTCAACAATTTCCACATTATTTGGTAGTGTAGCCCTAATATACAAATATCATATTACTATTACTATAAATATTAAAATATTAGTTTTTTATTTTTCAAGGCACAAATAAGTATTTAAAAAAAGATATGTGAACTGTGAGACATAACAAACTATGTATAATCATAAACAAAGAAGCTATACGACATTACAAAAAATGACCAAAAATGAAAAACGTCATGCTTCACTTAAATGCTTCAAGATATCAAAATGTTTTTTCACAGCAAATATTTTTTTTTAAACAAGCCTAAGATATATACTACAGTATAAATTCGATTATCTGGAACTCGATGATCGGAATCTCTCTTATTATCCAAGTGTATCACAAGTGTACACCGATGAACAGATGAACTGATTAGTTCTAACTACATGAACGATGAATGCTTACAAAAACATCTCTATACATTTTGTAATTAGCAAAACGATTTTCAAAAAACGGCAGTTGGGTACATACTGACGACTTGGAATAGGTCGTCGATGATAAATCATTTGATTACAAAAGTCTGTATGGAAGAACCCATTTTACAGAAAATCGATCAATTTTTAAATGTGTGTTCTCACAATTTTGAGAAATCTATCGAATTTTTGATCGTTCGTACGTGTTGCACAATAGAAAACTATAGTTTTTTTTAATTGTGTTTTTGTATTTTTGAACAGAATAAAAAGCATATTAAATAAAAGAAAATAATTACTGCAGGTACCATTATATCGCTGTCAGTCCCATCTAACCTAAATAATCGAGTTTGTACTATATTTTTTGTCCATCTTGACAAATATGAGATACCCTCCAAAAGCCTCGAACGTTTGATTTTTATAAACATTTTGAACTTACTCTTGATTAATCTCTGTTTGTTCAACCTCCTCTGGTTTCTCCTCATCCACTGAATCTGACTCTGAATCCTGTGAGCTACTTGAAGAAGAAGCTGCCGCTTCACTTCCACTTGCTAAAGAACTAACAGAACTATCAATATTTGGTCCAATGCTAGACAAACTTCCGGATAACTTTACACTTTCCTTACTTTGCTCCTCAACTTTTTGCTCCAACTTATTAATAATAGGTACCAAAATAGGAGGCAATTTAAAATATTCATTTCCTGAATTGTTTGATGAAGAGGTATTTTGAGAATTTTCTGTGTCCTGGGAAGGAGTTCTTACTAAAAACCGCTTTTTATCATGTAGAACAGGTACTTTTGTGGTAATACTGGTATAGCTCTTCGCTTTGGTTAAACCTACAATGTTCTTAGCCTTGGTATTGGCAAGAGAAGTTAATACAAAATCTGAATCAGGTTTCAAATTCTTTAAAGTTTTATCAACTGTGTTTAGATTACTCGTCAAACATTTGGTTTGAGACCTGAGTAGTTCCCAGTTTGTTCTTGCATTTGATATAACTTCTTCTCTTCTATAGTTCAGTGAAACATCACTAGTTAAGTCCATATAAGTAGTATTTGTACTCTCTTTATTTCTACGCCAGGCCATAGCAGCTTTTCGCACTTGTTCTGTAATTTGCATAGTATTCAATCTTGTTAATTGAGGTAGATATGATACCAAGAATGAAACACAGTCACCACCCAATGATACTGGATTATTGTCTATAGATATTTCTCGCAAGTTTGTCGATTTCGCCAGACTACTAATATCTTCAACACTAAAACCAAATGAAGTTGTATTATAATAGGTAACAATTTAATTTAATGGAATATTTACATTAATTATAGCAGTAACTTTGTGGATATACAAAAAAAGTAAAGTTAAAAGGTCATAAACTGTAAAATATAAAATATTGGATGTCTTGGATTCAATAATGTATAAAAGGTATACAGTGAAGTCTCCCTTAATGGACGTTCTATACAGATGGACACTCTCTATATAGATGGATACCTCCTATGAACAGCCAGTTCTGTCAGTTTTGTCTGGTCTTGGCACAAATTGTAACTCTCTTGGTGGATTCTCTTTCAAGCAAGTATGGACATAAATTTTTTAATATTTTAATATTTTTTTCTCAGTCAGTACAAATATTAATAAGAGAAAATATTATCATTAAAATCTGATAATAATTGCATAAGCTGAATAATTTCTGAGCTGGTTATCACGTCGTCACTTTAAGTTCTTGATATTTTGACAGACATATTACACACTCTTCTTCAGAAGAAACTCTAAAACTAGAGATTAAGATCTTTGTGTGGTATTTATATCTGATGTATGATCTGGTTCATGGTATTCCGGTACATGAATTGTAGTTACAGGTCTGTGTCATTCTGATCATGGATTTTGTGGATCAGTCATTTCCAAATTCCAGGTTCTTCTAATTCCTCATCACGACTGAAATTATTTAGATTTTTCTAGATTTTGATCGCCTCTCTGTCTTGGCCAACATCTATCTCTCTCTTTTACTAGTCTGGTATTAGTTAGATCTATAGTATGTCTTCTGTTAACCTCTTACTGATGTGTCTTCCCAGTTGTCCAATGTATACTTTTCCGCATATAAATGGAATGCTGTATACACTGGGGCCTTAGAGTAGATCGTTTCTGCAGCTCATCTTGGAAAAGCTGTTCTTATCTTCCTTGAAATGCTATAGATGGTATTAATTTTAAATATTATTATTAAGATGCAACATATCTTGTCATTGCTTCCTTGCTTGTTGTTGCTAGATATTCCTCTTTTTCCTTATCCTCTGGTATTTTTCTGATAATTCATTTGATATTCTTGTTCATGTATCCATTTCCTCTAAGCGCAAACTGTAATTACTGTAGTTCCTTGTATAAGTGTTTCAGCTTGCATATGCTCCATGCTCGATGAGCCAAAAAGTATTGACAATACCTTATCTCTGGGCTGAATGATATAAATATCGATCCGTGCAAGTTAGATTTCTGTAAACGTTGTATACCAGGATGCCTCTGGTTTCTCTTAACAAAGACATCTAATAATGGCAGGGTCTATCTTCATGGTGAAACTAATGTTCTCAGGATAATTCAGGAGTCTTTCTGTCATTATGTCCATGGGGCCAGGTAATAAATGCATCATCCAATATCTGGCTTTTGAATTACTGTCTAATCCCTAAAGGAGAAAAAGGCCGTCTAATGCACATCTTTACCAAGTCTACTGCCTTGTCTTCTGTAATGATCCTTCAATCGAAGCTCTTAGAGGAAATGAACAAACAAACAAGAGTGAGCCGTCAGAAAGATACCTAAGGATAAAGAAAAAGAGGAGTATCTGTGAACAATGTATCTGTTATATATACAAGGATGATAGGCTGCTTCCAAGGCTGCTTCTAAAGGAAAATTAACAAAATCTACCAAATACAAAAAAAATAACATCTACACTTCAAGGAAGATATGTACGGCTTTTAACAAGAGCATGATCTAATCTACTCCAAGGCCACAATGTATACAGCATTCTGTATGTATGTGGCAAATAAAAAACACAGTACGAGGAGCACAAGAGTCCCAGATACAGGATATGCGGTAGGTCTTACTAATACCAGAAGTGAGAGAGAAAATATTTTGGCTAAGACTCCACAGGGAGGTAATAGATACCCCAGAGAATCCAAATAATTTCAATTGACACAAGAGGCTAAAACTACCTGGAGTGTGGAAACTATTTATCCACAAAAATCAGGACCAGAACGTCATAGGCCAATGACTATAAGCGATGCACCTGAACACCATAAACTAATGCATACAGCATTACCATACAAAGCACTTAATCTCCAGTTTTGGAGTTTCTTCTTAAGTAGATACATCTCTAGAAACATCAAGAAGCCTGGAAATTATTCACCCATTGGTAAATACCATGGCATCCTTCAAACCAACCTAATTGTATATTTCGGTTGTTAGGGAATTCCGTGGAAGTTGCAAAACCAGCCAATTTTAATCATTTTATTTTGATTTCCTGTTTGTTTCTTTCACTTACTGCTACAACACTTGTTTGATGTTATTGAAAATGACAACATAGAGGAAAATTATGATTTTTTTAATCAATTTTTGAAAATAAATTTTCTGTTATATACACACAAATTGTTATGATCCTAGTGGCATCTATCCAAGAGACCCCACTGCAAATGAATTTGGTACCTATTTAAAAAATTAATTTTCAATTGCCATAAATAGTTAAATTATTACTAATCACAAAACTAGTAGATATCCATAATAAAATAAAATTCTAAATTGAAAAAATCCTTATCCTGCAGGACTATATTATTACAGTTTATTTTTAAGAATTACCTTTGCAAGTCATTGTTACTAATAAATAACTTTGAAAGATTGGGTGTATCAGCAAACCCAAGAAGTTTCTTCAATCTATTTCTTCTTAGATTTAGCTCTTGGAGTGATCCTAAACCATTTAAATCCTTTACACCTATAGTTTTAATTTGATTTCCAGCCAAATTTAATACTTTTAATTCAGATAAATTTGATAGTCCTCCAACTTGGGTAATTTGATTACCATGCAAGTCTAAAACTTCTATTTTTTTCAAATTTTCTAATCCCTCTATCTTCTTTATTCTAAAATTATTTTTATACCATCAAGTTCCACAATACTTAAAGTTAAAGTAAACTCACCTGTTTTTTCCCATCAACAAAACTCTCAAGTTTTCTAAAGTATCCAAATACTGAATCTCTTCCAATTGATTATCGTAAATATCTAAAAAGACTAGTGAAGGAAACAATTGTTTACTTAAAGTTTCTAAATTATTAACTAAATTGTGCTGTAAAGATAGTAGTCTTAGTCTAGCTTCTCCATCTATAAAAGGAACTAGAGTCAGTCCACGTCTATCTAAGCTTATTCGGTCAGGATGTGCTTCCTTCTCTTCTTGTAAACGTGATACATGAATAGAACCATCTGCAAACATCTGTAATACAGGTTCGCACAAATTTGAAGATTCATGTAGTTTTGATAAGGTAGATGCATTTAATGTACTATGAGATCTAACATAAAAATTTCTTCTATCTTTGATGGGTAAAGCTGGAGCTATTTGCAACAAATTTTTCTCATCTGTTTGTTGCTGCACATTTTGATCTATGGTTTTATTTTGGCCTCGAACAGCTTTTTTCTTTTCCTAGATTATACAGAAATTAAATTTTATTTAACTTACTTTATATAGAGATACATACAACAGTAGCAGCAGTGCTACTAATTGGCATTTATAGTCCATAAAAATGTATTTTGTAAACAAATTTCATCTAATTAACATCTTTTTGTATTTTTCTGATTTGTTTGACGTTTGTGACACAAATTTTAAAAGTTGTTTGTTGTGGTTATGTAACTCTAACCTAATTTTTCTTAAATGTTAAACCTTTTGTTAATTGAATGGGAATGCAAAAATTTTATAAAATGAGTGTAAATAGTGTTTACTGTCTTCTAGTAAGAAGACCCATGTATTTATCCTTTCAGTTATCCTTTCCACGAAATAATTACGCAAAAAAAGACACAGGAAGTGAGCTTTTCACAAATCTTTGTTTTATAGGTTACTTTAATAATTAAACGTTTTTAGGCGTGAGCATGGTGGGTGGTGTTTTAAAAAAGAAAAAATTAGGAAAACTGGGACCCGTTGTCGAAAAAACTGTATTACCCGTAGAAACCGATCCCGAGAAACTAGTTAAATATGCCTGCGGTACAAATATTTTCAAAACAGGTGAGGACGTGCTTTTGAAACCAGATAACGAGTATCCAGAATGGCTATGGAACATACGCCTAGGTCCACCTCCTCCCTTAGAAGAATTAGATCCTAATTCTAAACAATACTGGAAGCGAATAAGAAAAATGGCAATGAGGCGCAACAATAAATTTGCTCAGCTCAAAAAATTTTAGTTATGTAAATAATAATGTGTATTATGTACCGAATAATTTTATTTTAAAGTATTTAATACAAAATTTGTTTGTATTTTGTTTTTACATTAAAACATTTTAGTCGTAAATTTCAATTGCATTGTGTTAAAGTAACCATAAAAATCAAGAGAATTTTGCATTTGATGTTGCAAAACCATATTAAAAAAAAAAATGGCTAATTAAGATGAAAGAAAATTATGGATAAAGCAGTAATTACAAACAAAATCAGATTATGAATTTTTCAGTTTCATTTATTTTTTTTTACAGCATTTTGCTTTTTGTACACTACCATACAAATCCTATAATCTGAGGATATAGGCGCATATTTTCCATAGTGAATATATCCACATCATCACGTGGGCACGTCTCGTATACATTATATAGGATCTTATAAATATCAAACTTAAAATCTCATGGCCTTTATGAAGCGAAGTAAACCGATGTTTCTTGTAAAATAAGAAATAAAAAAATTTTTTTTGAATATCTTGAAGCATTTAGTGTATTTTAGACGGTTAGATTTGTAAATAACACAACAGTATCCAAGCATACTTCTAAAAAGTGAAAATAAATATTATAAGTTATGTTTATTGATGTAAATGTAAATTCTGTGTTCTCTTACTTTATGGATATGCCACGTATATAAAAGAAATGCAAATTTGCATGATACTGTATTTTGTTACTATGTTTTAACAAATATCATTCCCAATTTAAAGTCATTTTTATATAAATAATAGGAGTTTTCACAAATAAAAATATAGTTGTTCGGACATAGAGCCGTGTTTTTGGTCTTTTGTGTGTTCAAACAATATTAGTTCAGTGCTCAATACATAAGGTACAGATACACATGCTACTAAAAAAGCATCTTTTAATAAATAATAAAAGGCTACAGTGCTCTTTGAAAAGAGAAGTTGACTATTGTTTTTCAAAAAAAAAAGTAAATAGGCTCTAATAGGCTCCCTTTATAGTGTACAGTAATCCCTTGTTAACCGCGGGGGTTACGTTCCGATAGGGATCCGCACTTGATGAGGGATCCATAGATGTACATATTACGAGGAAAAAAAACATGGAATTTTGTTAGATTTATAGTTGGATTTATGTGTCTATTTATAAGTGAAGAAAAATCTATTTACGTAAATGTAAAATTTATTTTCACTTACATTTTAGTTACACATGTACTGACAAAAATATAAAATAACAAAAAACACACACATATATTAGGTACCTAAGTCATAAAATCGTACATAAAAAGTACATATGTACGTAATAAAGCAAGTTTATTTTTAAAAAAATTAAAGGATTGTTGGCTGTTTCATTTTATTTTTAATTTCTTTCTGCGCTTGTTTATACGGTTGTAATAAACCCTCTAGCTCTAGACCATTATTGAACTTCTTGCTTCGTTCTAGTGAAGGATCCAGGTACAAAACCAAATTCTAAAGTTGATGAGCAGATGGCAAAATTTTATTTATTTTATCTAATGTTGACGTAGTTGATTTTCCGATTATTAATTCTTGAGAGGTGTCATCTTCATCATTTGATTCGTTATTGCTTTCCAGAATTTCAACGAGTTCCTCTTCTGTGAGTTCATTTTCATTAGCGGCTAAAACTTCTTCAACATCAGTTGATTGGAGATCTTCAAAACTTTCTCCATGTATTTAATGCATAACTTGTAAAATGTTGGTGACTTTGGCTTCTTTGTCCGGCAATGCTGATTTATCGATAACAACTTCCGGCCATAGGTTTTTCCAGCATGCATTTATAGTTGATGGTTTCAAGTCACTAACTGCATCTTTAATAATGGTTATGCAATGAGCAATATTAAACTGTTTCCATTTTCGGTAACAGTCAACGAAGGATCTGCTTCCATGCATTGTAAGATGCGACTGAAAGTGCACCTCAGATATCATTTAAACGTGGCTATTATGCCTTGATCTAATATGGTTGCAGAAGCGAAGTTGTGTTGGGAGGTAAAAATTGTATTTTCACATTGGGGTCGTTTAAATTTAAGGTCTCCGGGTGCATTGTCAATAAGCAGAAGTACCTTAAATGGTAGTGACTTTGAGGCCAGATACTGTTTAACACTAGGCACAAAACAATTAGTAAACCAGTCTGTAAATAGCGTCATCATAACCCAAGCTTTAGGATTTGCTCTCCAAAACACTGGCAGACAGTCTTTATTTTTGCTTTTTAAGGACCGTGGGTTTAATGGTTTGTAAACAGTCATTGGCTTCACCATAAAATCACCTGAGGTGTTACAACAAAATAAAAGTTAATTGGTCCCTTAGCTATCTTAAATCCCAGTGCAGATTTTTCATTTTCTGATATGAAGGTGCGAGCAGGTATTCTCTTCCAAAAAATACACATCTCGTCAGCATTAAATACTTGTTCTTCACTTCACTTTCTATAAATTCTTTAAGGTTAGTTGAGGCCAGTTCTCCAACAATTTTAACATTAGGCAAAGAAAATCGTTTTTTAAATCTCTCGAACCATCGTTTACTCGTCTGGAAACTTGAAGATTCATATCAGACTTTAGGCTATTATAATCGAATAGCCTTTTCTTGAATTATTTGGGTACTCACTGGAACTCTCTTTTTTGTTTGATCTTCGATCCAAAAATACAATGCTTTTTCCATTTTTCCAAGGTTTGGGGCCGCCAACAGGTAACCTTGCAACTTGAACTAGTTCCACGCAAAATGGACGAACGAATGGATTCTTTGCTTTTCTCTCGCAGTCAATTCGTTCACTTTAAATTTGTTAGTAGCACTTACAGCTAAACAGTCTAACAGTTGGATCTTTTTATCTTATGTCGCACCTTTTTCTTTTAACAAACTTTTTACTTTCGCATCCAGACATTCCGCAACTTCAAAACAAATACCGCAATTTAATATGTAAATCTACTGACAGCGTTCTGGACGTATGATGCAACAATGCTTCGACAGGCTACTGACGACGACGCAAAGGACGCGACCCGGTAAATGCCTCCTAGCCAGTTCTATGAAATCATGGAAAAGCAAAACCGCGGTTGGCGAGACCGCGTATAACAAGGGATTACTGTATTTGTAGCCTTCATTTAATTTTTTGTTTTTTAAAATCAAACTATAAATAACGGAGGTACGGCTTGCGGTATTTTTTAGCAGACAGCCAGTATATCGCTCGGTATATTTATCGCAATTTAAGACAAAGTATACTCTATCTACCTCGCAGGCATGTTAAAATGTTATTGGAATTTTCCAAAATGCAAAATCACTCATGTATTTGCTATTGCTTTTTTAAATTGAGACTAATCACGTGACAAATAATTTTCTTTAGGACAGTAATTTTATTTCCTACATGTTGGCAATTAAATTTCAGTAAAATTAAAAATTATTAAAATCAGACCGAGATTACATTAAAACACAACATTCAACGACTGTGATTGGTGTAATTTTTCACGAGGTTTTATTCAACCAATCGGCGATTGCATTATCTCAAATGTAGCATAACGGTTTGTCACTGTTCACTGTAAACAAATCATTAATATTGGTGATGCTAAGATTTAGGCATTTTTAGTCGACATCACCAGCCATGCAATGTTGATTGTCTAAGCTAAATTTACTTGTTGGTGTTCCGATTCATGAAATGAAAAGAATGGCTTCAATATTTATTTTAACATATTAACGTGCTATAATTTCCAAAAAATGTTCATCGCAGTGAAGTAACAATAAAGCCTTTTGTTAGTTTATAAATAAAAAATATATAGAGCAAGTTAAATTCACAACAAATAAAAAATATATAAAATACTGAAAAACATTTTTTGGGCGAGTCCCAAATGCAAGATATTTTAGAAAACAATACTCCTCAATAACTAACCGAAGCATTTAACTGCGATCAAACAAATTGGCATTAAGAACTCGCCCAAAATTACATATATAGTTTTAAAATTAAAGTATATGTGTAAACTAACTTAAATACTACGAGACACCAAAAACATTCAAAATTATTTGTTAAATGTTAAAAGGTTATAAAAAATGTGTTACAAAAAAAAATTAAAATTTGTTACATAGGTACGTGAAAGAAGAACTAATACGCATAAATAAATTTTGAAATGTCATCTAATATTTGTCAAATTATAAAAACATTGAGAAAATGCTGCAGTGAAAAAGAATAGTTTAAAATATTAGCTTAATGTTAGGTTTTGCTGCGCTGAGTTTATTATTAGCATCCGGTGTTCTAGGTCGAAGCCTCACATTTGTAGGGGTCTTTTGGCCTGATGGTTTTGGAGTGGCAATTAAGGTGCCTGTAGGAGTTCTACAACGCAATGTCCTGCTTGACATTGGAATACAAGCTGACACCTCTGATGGGATTATAGTGCTTCGGCAACCATCTTTATTTGATAATTCATTCTGAAAATAAAAAGAGACATTAACTACGGAGTAATGATTCCATGTGAAGAACTATTAATAGTTAAAAAAGCTTAGCTAACTGTAAGTAAAATAAGAAAAATCATTAATCGAAATTATTTAAATTAAAAAAAAAAACGATTCCATACAGGTCGTAATGCTTGGCCAAACTTTAATAGTCATTGAGTACAATGCCAATTAATGTATATAATCCTTACAAACATGTGTCTGGAGGGGATAATTTTTTAATTATGAGGTGTTTTAAGAGTAAAAAAATAACAGACTTTTTTTTTTAAAATTATACGATTATAACTCAAACGATTTCATTCAAAGGACCGCGTAACTATCTTGATGGAAAATCGGTCCCGGTTGAATTGTACGAAACTTTGCCGAATGATAGTCCTCAATGTGTCGATCAAAAAAGTCCATGGGACCTAGGTCTGCAAAACTACTGTTCTGAAGCTACAGCCTTCTGAAGTTATTGAATCCACATGCTCGATGACCATCAAGTCCAATGATTTATGGGCGAGTAAAAGCAAATAATTCTTTATAAAGTAACCAAGCTTTCGTGTGCTGAATGCGAATCCCTGGTCAAAATAGCTGTATCTTTCAGTCTTCAGAAAATTGGTGAAGCACCTACTGAAGAACAGCGATAGCGACACGTACTGCTTGAAGCATGCTAAACACTTATCCATCATCAGCATATCTGCAGCATTCCTCAAACTTCAGAAAATAGCTGAAGTACCTTCAGAAAACTTGACTTGATGGTCATCGGATTCGATAACTTCAGAGGGCTGTAGCTTCAGAACAGTAGTTTTTCAAACCTGCGTCCCATGGACTTTTTTGATCGACACATTGAGGACTATCATTCGGCAAAGTTTCATACCATTTGACCGGGACCGGCTTTCCATAAGGATAGTTGCGGCGTCCTTTGGTGGTCAGTTTTAGTTTTTGTTGGTGCAGAAATATTGCAAGAACATTAATAATTTTCACTTTCACTTTCTTTTTTAAGGTATTTTCAATTAGACTTGATGATAAGAGCATTTAAGAGGTTTTAAGAGAAACAGAAGCACATAAGGTAAATAAGTAAGCACTAACAGTGTCAAGTCATTTTTGAAATAATGAAATTTCAGAGAAAATAAAAAAATTATTGAATTTAAATTGTATAGATCTTCTATGATAAAAATGAATCCAGATACAGATTTCCAGACCCAGTTAGTAGGTTTGGAAATGATTCATTTTCAACATACACAAGATCAATACAATTTTAATGAAAAAATATCGTATATTTTAAACGGCATATTTGGAAACTATAAATTTTAAATCAAATGTTTGTTAAGATTTGTATAGGGGTCGATTTTTGAAAAATTTTAATTAGCAATTTTTTGGTTTCTTGATTTAGCACTAGTTAAATAAAATTAGCGACTTTTTTACTATAATTAAAATGATTTAATTGCCACATTTTTAAATAGTAATTATATAGAAATTCAATAATAAACAAGTTCTTTACACAAATTTGCAAAATTTTTTTTGAGGGGATAGAATAATCCGTTATTAGATTCCATAAAAAAAAAACTTAATATGAACAATTTTTCAAAAATTTACACTTAAAAAAAATTCAGTTCTAGAATTTGTAATTTTAAAAAAGTATTATTTCCAAATATGTGCTTTCTTATGTTTTATTTAATAAAAACATTAGAGCTTCATTTGTTTTTTACTTGTTATGATGGCCTGTACAGCTATAAATTAAACACCCTGTATAAGAACTAGAAACATATCGAGGGCATCATATCAGAAGGGCGTAAGAGCCACTATAGTTGGTTTTGGGTTTTTAGGGTGTATGACTTCATTTAATCAATTCGCTTAATATATCAGAAGGGTGTATCTATTCATAAACATCAACACTCTATTCCAGGGTTCATAGTTCAAAATTAATATAAAATTCCCTGACTTTTCCAGGTTTTCCCTTACTTATAAAAGAAAATTCAGGTCACTTGCAAGTCATTTTTACACACTAATTGATGATGCATTACACTTTTTCTAGACTGGACTCCATAATCTTTTTTATACCCAAAGAACCTCTAATAAAAGTTTCAAAATCACAAATAGTTTTCTCTTTCAAGAAACCAGAGCCGGTTTTCACAAAATTTCCAGTTGCAAACATCAAATTCCCTGACTTTCGTGAATACTTTTGAAATTCCCTGACTATTCCATGTTTTTTATGAAGAATAATGAATTCCCTGACTTTTCCCGGTTTTCCAGGTCACAACGAACCCTGTATTCTAACACATTTTACTTAGGCGTATGAACCAAATATTGCAAAACTATAATATCAGAAAGGAGTATGCCTGTAAAATTTCAGATTTGGTTTGTACGCCCTTCTGATAAGACGCCCTCGATATTTATTAATTTGTGTAGAAACTGTCATTAAGCTTTGGCCTTGCATTTTAGTTGCACCCTGTATAAGAGTACCCAAGTAATTCAGTCAGTCCTTAGGTAGGCAAGGAAAAAGAGCTGGGAAATTACCATTTCACGACTTTTTGTTTCGGCAAGCTGAATTTATCACTATAGATGCCAAATATTATGTACAATAACATATTAGTTTCCACAGTCATAAAAATGGGGAGAAGATTGTTTACAGGCTAGTTAATTGTATAATTTTTACGTAAATTCACGTTTTTTGCTTATAACTTTTTTCTATTTATTTCCACGAGAAAAAGTAAAGTACTTTTTTTTTCATCTATGCATAAGAAATACTGTCAAGTCATTGGATCGCTTGATTTTTCGGCGAGCCGCGGCGCAGCGAAAAGGTGGGGGAAGCGAACGACAGCGAGTCCGAAGAAAATGAAGATAATATTCATAGTCCTGACGTTAAAAAAGCGAAATTCGCTTAAAAATAACTTGTAAAATATTCAACTTACCGATTTCAGATTTCGTGTGAGTTATTAGACAGTGATAAGGAATGAGAGGATGCAATGCCAAAACGTCCTGGTAATAATAACACAGTTTATAAATGTTTAATTCAAAAGCCATAAATAAACTTCTGTTTATAACTTTTGATCTAATCAATATTTTTTGACACTCGAGGGCTAGTTTTGTAGGTCTTTTGAAGAGAAAAAAAAGTAATTTACTGTTTTCTCGTGGAGATGAACGGAAAATAGTTATAAGGAAAAAACGTGAATTTATGTAAAAATTATACAATTAACCAACCTATAAATAATCTTCCCCCCATTTTTATGAGTGTGGAAACTAATATGTTATTGTACATAATATTTAGCATCTATAGTGATAAATTCAGCTTGCCGAAATTAAAAGTCACTTATATTTCCTGGCCTATAGGATGTGATTGTGGCAGGTAACAAAATGGTGGTAAATTTTCGAATTAGAAAATTACAGCAACAAAATTGTGCAATTAAAACATGCTTAAATCTAGTAAACGATAAGTTACTATGCATCCATGCAATTTCCCCTTTTGTTCTGTTTGGATTTTCCTTATTTAGACATTAAAAAAGGGCTTCCTCAAGATATGATAGCATACAAGTATGTGATACGGGTTTATTAATATATGTAACTAATAATGAGATTAGATGAGTTGCAACATACAATTCACAAGCGAAACTAAGAATTGTCAAATATACTGACCCTATTCTATTATAGTTCCACATACTGAACTGAACGCCAGTGGGCGCTCCTGAAAAAAAAATTATTACATAACAATATAAGTATTAATAATAGCTGTTTTATGTGGTGCAATATATTTTAAGGTAAGTGTCACTTTTTTGTTAATATTTGTGACAATATCATGTCACAATTTATTTTCAACTGTTGTATTTAAATGAAAAATAAATTGCAAATCAGTAAATACTACACTAGCCACAAAAATTAATTAACGGATAAAAAATCCTAAATTTTTAGGATTTATAAAAGGCTGTAACTTGACGAAAATTGGTCACAGAACAATAAAATAATTTCTTTTTTAATATTTAATATTTTTTGATAAAAACATGGATTTTTGAGAAGAAAAACGTATACAATTTAAAAAATTAATAAACGATGCAAAAGGGCCCCTCACAAATCAAACGGAAATTGGCTTTCGGTGAAATCGGCCGAATTTTGGATATGTTGTTCCTTTCGAGATCAAAAGTCTCCACGGGCACGAAGCTCGAAAATCTTCCCTGCGAGCAGTACCCAGCTTGGAAGGTTAGAAACTGGTAATCCCCGATTTTCGCTGATTTTACCTCTACACGTGGCCTCAGCGACTCCGAATACTGAAGTCCGATTTTGCAATCGTCGTTGCGATAGTGTTCACCTGTTATGTGTGGTGTTTACAATAGTTTTTTGGTAGTTGGTGTCAAAAATGGTTTGCGTGTATAGCAACTCGGAGTTGATAGATATCGTTTTAATTTATGGTGAAGCAAGACAACATTTGTATTATGGTGAAGCATTTGTGTTATGGTGAAACAAGACAATATTTGTGGTAGTTCATAGAAACTGAGTAAGACGGACCCAAATGTGTTTACACGTTGGTGTATAAAATTTTGAACAATTGTTGTTGTAACATCAGGTATGTCAAATAATTTTATTACTTAAAAATACAAATTAATTTTATTAATTAATAAAGGCAAAAGCAGTTGAATTTGCCGATATAAAATAGGTGCTATAAAATTCTATTTATTTCTTTCCTTGCTAAAGTTTTTGTCCGTTTTTGTCCGTTTTTATCACACCGCCATGCCGGTCGCATTGTGCCAGCTCAGGTTTTACAGAGGACCAGATTCCAGTGCCGTGCAGAAGTGTATTTTTAAATCATTTTTGAACTGCCCTTTTTGATTTTTTCTTTATAAAATTGTATTTGTAAGGGTCCCCTGTACATCCAGAATTTTTTTTTTGGATAAGTTCTGAATCACCCTGTATAATATATCTTCATATATATAATATAACTTCATATATATCCCGAAAATGCAAGGGTAGAGGTAAAATTAGCGAAAATTGGAGATTACCGGTCTCTAACCTTCCAAGCTGGGTACTGCTCGCAGGGAAGATTTTCGGGCTTCATGCCCGTGGAGACTTTTGATCTGGACACCGAAAGGAACAACATATCCAAAATTCGGCCGATTTCACCGAAAGCCAATTTCCGTTTGATTTGTGAGGGGTCCTTTATCTTTGATTGATTAATTAATTTTTAGCAAGTGTGACAATTTCGATCAAAATGAAAGAAAAGTCGCAATTTAAAAACTTGAGGGTTTCTTAGGAATACTGTGAGGCTAAAAAAAAATCAAAAACTGATAAATCACCATACAAAGCTCATAAATAGCTCAAATTGAAAAGAATGAATCAAACTAAAAGAGGTGCCAGGTGTAATTGGCCAAAAAAAAATTATTGAAGCCCGTGGACCGTTTGAAAGTAAAAATAAAAAAAAATCCACTGGATTTCTTATGATTTTAAAGGTGGTCAGAGATAAAAAATCTTGAATGAATCCAATCCTGAAACTTCAAACTTCAATTTGCTTTTTTTCTTTTTTTTTTTCATTACATTTTGAAAATCACCCAAGTATTTTTTTTATATACTTTAATTTTGTGGCTAATTAATATTTTCAATTTAATTCTAATGGAAGTTAACTTGTACTATCTGTTGTAGTCCAATTAAATAAGCCTTTCAATCGAAATTTTGGTTAACTTGCCTGAATTTTTGATACGAGTTAGTTTGATTGAGGTATAACAATAAGCAGTGGCGGCTCATTAGAGGAGGCTGGGGAGGCTAAGCCTCCTCTGCAGTTTTTGATAGTATTGCAAAAGTTTTCTTTTAGTTTTTTTAATTTTACATCATATAGGTAATTAACATTATTTCAGAAATTTTCATATGCAACTAATTATGTAGGTACCTACTAAGGGAGATCTCGAGTACGTAAATATACGATTTTTAAATGTTCACTATTTTTCGCGCCCTCCTAATTCGCATTATAGTCGGTGGCAGCTAACTTCCTCAAGCCTCCAAACCTTTTACTAGAGCTCTATAGGATGCGTGGCCTTGAATGATGGTACAATTATCTGGATTCAAGCTTCAGCAGTCGACACGGAGGCTTGTTGCCACCTTCCATCTCTTTTTAATAAGCGAATTCTTCAACATAGCCCTTCTTCTCTACCACTTCGGCGCTCGCAGTTCGCACGCAGTTTAGTTTTAAGTAAAGTTTGCAACGGCATTAAAGAAGTGAGAATTTTTTTTCAAATCTTTCCGGATTTTCGTCATTTTTTTCCAAATATACTAAAAGATCTGACATATTAAATAAAATAATGGATTCCAAGTAATGCTCCCACTCGTTGGAATTTTTCTTCTAGAGCTGTTTTTACGGTCAAAACTTATAGAAAGAAACTTATTGAGGTTTTTGATTTCATATCGAATACGATATGAGGATCCTCACGAGGATTTTTTAAATGATAAACAAACTTTAGGATCCCCTTATGGATTAAAACAATAATTGTTGTTGGACAAAAATTTCAATTTTTTCTTGAAAACCTTTGCAATGATTTTTGAACAAATCGTGTTCCAAATTTTACAGAATAAATTAACTGACGTAACATTTTCTAAAAAGAGAATTAATTCACTTTTATCAAAATTAAAAGAATTCTGTATTAACGAGATACATTTTAACACGTTGAATGCAATTTTCTTAGAAGACACTGACGAAACCTTTAACAATGACCGGCCCTCAAAGAAAAGAAAGACAAGTTTAAAGTTTTCTTTTCAAGCCTCCTCTGTCAAACTTACCACGAGCCGCCACTGATAATAAGTGACAGTAATTTTTTGTTCAACCCCCGGCCAAGGGTGAAAAAAAATTAAACAAAGGGGTTTTTCAATATAACTCAAAAGGGGAAAGGTTTAGAAAAAAGTTTCTTATAAAAGTTGTAAAGCATACAATTCGACATAAAAATGGCATCTTGACTTTTTCTTGTACTATTAAAATTAACAGAGTTAGGAGGCTAGAAGTTAAGTGAAGATTTCAGAAATTTAAAAAAATCATAACAAGCAGAAAAACGAATGAATTTTGTATTTTTTTTTTCAATCTATTCTAAAAAATGTAAAGAGACACGTTTTTTTTTATCGGCGGAAAAACATATTTACGGGGTGAAATACACCCTCAAAGTTCACCCCCCAAAACAGTTTTTTCAAAATTTCTGGGGTTCTAATCAATATATTGAAATCAAACAAAATGGAAATTATTTATGATAAAAAACAAATATTTCGCAAGTGATTCCGTGTTTGCGGGTTGCTATCCTTATTTTTTATTTCAGAAAAACTATATTTTTTATTTATAAAAAAATCATATTTACTCAAAAAGAATTAAAAATATGATTTATGTAAATAAATTGACAAAGTTAAATTGACCTGTTTCGAGGTTTTTGTTAAAATCTCTGTTTAGGGGGGTGAACAACAAATTTGAAATTGTTATAACTATTCATTTTTTTGATTATGATTTTTTTAAAGTCAAGGCCATTTTTATGTAGAATGTATGCTTTACAACTTTTATACGAAACTTTTTTTCTAGCAATTACCCGTTTTGAGCTATCTTGAAAAAACCATTTGTTTTATCTTTTTTCACCTTTTCACCGCTGGGGGTTGAACAAAAAATTATTGTCACTTATTGTTATAACAACTCATATCAAAAATTCAGGCAAGTTAATCAAAATTTCGATTTAAAGGCTTATTTAATTGGACTATTGATAAATAAATCGATGGAAAAAAACTTAAAACAGCTACAAATATTTTTTTCAAATACTTACAAAATTTGATGGGTATCGATGTGTGACACCACACTGAGATATGAAAGAGATGAAAATAAAACAAGCAGATAATAAAATAAAAGTATACTTCCTACACCACAGAAAAGATGAAAAATTATTAGATTTTTATAGTTTGGTTAGTACAAGAAAATGTCTCTTATTATTTATGAACTAACTTTTGCATAAGTATACCAAAAAGAATGTTGAATTTTGTTATACATTTTTAAACTTATCATTAAATATTTATTCCAAAACATTTATAATGTCATTTTGTTTTTTTAAATAATTATCTCTTTATTGGGACATTTTCAACTGTAATAAATAATTAAAATAAATAAAGTTATGTACCTACCTTTTGTTTAAATTGTGAATAAAAAATAATTTAGTACCTACTACATATATTGCCAATGTAAAGGAAATTTACAAATTATACAGAATTAACAAATGGAACCAGTTTTACACACCTGAAATTTTCCATAATCTGCTGTGAAAGTTTCATTAGAATGACTCGCTTCTTTTTTTGAACTCAATCGTCTTATTTTGTTAATACGTTTTTTTCGTTCCATAGAGAGACGTTTAGAGATTGATGTAATTTTAATGGTAGGTATTGGAGTATCTGAAAAAAAAAACTCGGTTGTATTAAATTATAAATAGATATTTTTCTTTATAAAAAAAATTACAAACTTTTAAAATTGTAATATTGAATTTATTAAACCAGGGTTTGAAAAAAATAAGATAAGTGAAGAATATATCAAAATTTTGAAAGTTTATTTTAAAATGGAAGTAGATTTCTTGTACAAAACTAAAGCTTGCATGAAATGTACAGCACATTGGAAGCACTGCTTAAGTACCTACTGATTTAAATTTTTTTTATTTTGTACCTATTAAAAACATTTAAATTGGACTTAATTTGATTGATTTTCAGAAAAGGAATAACATTAGCCCCAAACAAGACATAAGCAAGGTAAAATTATTGTGTAAAACTATTTATATATTTGTAGCAAGTTTTAGTTTTCTATAAATTTTTCTGTATTATTCACAGGCAAGAAAATACTCAATTAGCAAAAAAAATCAATACTTCTATTGCAGCTTTTAAGGTTAAGTTAGCAGGAAATGTAATATCAAAAACATAATTATTGCTGTTATAATCATTATATTTTTAACTTTTTTCAACTTGACCATGATAAACTAAACCATGATTCACCTTTCTCTAAATTCAAAGTCCATTGACCACCACTAGTGGCAAATATAATTAAATGACAAACAAAAATTACATAGTTTGAAAACATACTTTGCATATATGTACATATATTATTAATCAGATTATTCATTTAACTATTTTAGATTATTTAAATAATTAACAACAAGGTTTATGTTATTTTTAAATACTATTGCAGTAATGAATCATTTGCAAAAAAATTGACACAGTTAAGTTCCTTGTTACAGTGCTGAAGCAATAATTATTTCCTTCTAGACAAGATGTTTAAATATGTGTTAGTGCAGTGTGTCCTATACCTTAGCGTGAAAGGATTTAAAGAGATAAATTTTCCAAAAGACAGATGTGAAGGGCTAGAAGAACTGAGAAACCAAATAGACTGCAAATTTAATCCTGATGATTATTTGGATGTTCCACAGATCATAAAAAGACATGGTTATCGCTCTGAATCTCATATTTGTGTGACAGATGATGGATATTTACTAACACTGCACAGAATACCAGGAAAAAATGGAAAACAGGGTGATCAACCTGTGTTACTGCAACATGGTCTGTTGGGAAGTTCTGCGGACTGGATTTTAAATGGAAATAATTCTTTAGGTATTAATTCGGATTTAATTTTTATATAGCAGTTTTACAAACTTTCTGCGAAAACATTTTCTTGCATATTCATTCTTGTAAATATATTTAAATATAGGATTTATTTTCAGGTTTTTTTGCTAAGCAGTGTTTGAAAACAAGTTTAATATTGAAACATGTTTAATTAATAAAAGCATGCATTACTGGTTAGTTAAATCGATTTAATAAAAGTTGCCTCTTGATACTTTTTCATTTTACTCGCTTCATGGAGATAAATACAATATGTTACGTAGTAAATTTAAATCATTTACTTCAACATATTCTTAATTTAAGAATTACTTGTTATTTAAATTTATCTAAAACCAATTACAGAAAATGATAACCATCACTCAAATGTTGTTTAAATTACAATTGTTTCAGAAAAAAAAATTGAAAGATGTAATATAATATATTCTGTATCTCAGAAATGAAGTAAGAATAGGTAGATACTGATAGGAACCTTTTTTCTTATTGTAGGATGGGGAAATTTTCCTTTAAACAATGGCACGTTTCTTTAAACACCCTGTATTCTTCTATAAATATCTTGTATAGTAATTGTAGATATGCACATGAATCATTGTATATATAAATAAACCATATTAAAAGGAGTGCCCAGATTGACACAATCAAATTGAAACTTATTAAAAAAAAATCCTTTTTCATAATTACACAAAAAATAGATTTTCATAATTTGGATATATTTTGTCTTACAAATACATATAAAAATATTATGTAATTTATTTTTAATAGTTATAATGTAGGTACTGCTAAATTTATTTATTTAAATTTTTTTGTGTTATAGAAAATTAAAATAAGAAGAGTTGCACATATATGTGCAAACCTGTTTTGTTTTATAATCAACTGACAGACACGGTGTTCTTATTTTTCAAAAAAATTTAATTTTTCTTAATTCCATTATGAAATCAGTATCAAATCAAAGTTGGAATAGGTATAACTACGAAAAAAAATCTTGAAAACATACATTTTGCAGATATACATATGCACAACCATTTTTGAGATCTTAGGGGAGGCTATCCCAATTTACATTTATTTCGTAAATCCCATTCATAATTTATTCGTCAAAAAAGTTCTGTATATGAGCATAAAAATCATCTTTTAAAAATGGTAAAATAATTGGGAATTGATGCAAAAATATTTTATTTACAAATCTTTCTACTTGTAGCCTTTTTATTGGCTGATCAAGGTTATGATGTCTGGCTTGGAAATGCAAGAGGAAACACATATTCGAGAGGCCACATATCTCTTCCCATATGGAGTGCCCAATATTGGAACTTTAGTTGGCATGAAATGGGAGTTCTTGATTTACCAACTGAATTATACTACATTAGCAATACAACAGGTAACAAAGAAAGATACCCTTTTCTCTAACAGTTAACAATTTTAAACCTATTTTTTTTGAGTACTACTATATTAAAATTAGTTATTATTCAAATAACATTATATATGTGCGGATAACAAATGCACATAAATATTTCTTATATGATACATATCAAGGAAATACATACAGGGTGGGCCACCAGAAATGCCTCGGTCGCTAGTGACCAAACGGCAAATGTTACAGAAACCTGTTTAGGTGGGTATGTGTAGGTTGATTACGGCTACATTTTAAAAATATTTTGAGATATACAGGGTGTCCAGGAAAAGCGTACCATATCAAAGTTATGTTTTTTTAAATGGAACACCCTGTATTTTACTGCATTTTTGAAAGCACCGTAAAAAAATAGGTGAACTTTATTAAAGGTTCTGCATACCTAGGACTTACAGTTTGTGAGATATTTCAATTTTAGTGAAAATGCAGGCATAGCGTAGAAATTTAATATTAGCAATAAAAAAATAATTTTAAGGAAGCAGCTTTGGAGGGTCTATTTTAGATCCTTGAAGTTATAAATTGTTATATTTGTCGTCACTTAGTATTATACAGGGTGTTCAAAAAACTGCTGAATACTTCTCTCAACTTTAAACAGCAATAACTTGGTTATTTTAAATGGAACACCCAGTATATTTTTACTTTGGGAGTTGGGAAATTTAAAACTCTTTCAAACTGTGTATAGGTTCCCTATACCTATCTCTAACGGTATTGGAGATATTTGTGCCGTTTCGTTTTTTATCGATTTTTTTTGTAAGATGTATCCACGTGTCTTTATCGAGGTCTTTACTGAATTGGTTTGGGTTCTTCTTGATGACGTCTCTTTAAATATAAGGAGAAAAATGTGAATGCAAATAGATGGCGCACCTGCACATTTTTCATATTCAGTGAGAAATTATATAAATCGATAATTAAGTAATAAATGAGTAGGTAAGAATGGTCCATGTCAGTGGCTACCACAGGTGTCCAAACCTCTCGTAATGGACTTCTTTGTTTCGGGCTGTATAAAAATATATCTTGTACACAGTGTTCCACCTACTACTTGCGATGATATGAAGGAAAGGATTAGATATGCATTTGCCACAATCACCCCAAATATTCTAAGGAATGTGAGAATATCATTTGAAGATAGAATAAGATGCTGTATTCAAGAGAATGGTTATCAATTCGAACATCTATTAAAATTTTTCTTTGTTTCTTCTAAAAGTAAAATTTTCTTTAATAAATATTTTTCATGTTCATAAATAATTCAGTTACTTACTACAAACATATTTATACAAAATTAATAACTTTTTATAATTATTCTGCTTATAAAATAATATTTTTTATTAGAAAACTTTTTTGAATATTTTCATGATAATGATAAAAGGGACTTCTACTTTTAGAAAAAACAAAGAAAAATTTTAATTGATGTTCGAATTGATAACCATTCTCCTGAATACAGCATCTTATTCTATCTTCAAATGATATTCTCACGCAAATGCATCTCTAATCCTTCCCTCCAATATCATCGCAAGTAATAGGTGGAACATTGTATACAAGATTTTTTATATAGCTCGCAACAAAGAAGTCCATTACGGTGAGGTCTGGACACCTACGTGGCCACTGACATGCACCATTCCTACTTATCCATTTATTACTAAATTTTCGATTTAAATAATTTCTCACTGAATATGAAAAAATTGCAGGTGCGCCATCTAATTGCATCCTCATTTTTCTCAATATATTTAAAGAGACGTCATCAAGAAGAACCCAAACCAATTCAGTAAAGACCTCGATAAAGACACGTGGATACATCTTACAAAAAAAATCGATAAAAAACGAAACGGCACAAATATCTCCAATACCGTTAGAGATAGGTATAGGGAACCTATACACAGTTTGAAAGAGTTTTAAATTTCCCAACTCCCAAAGTAAAAATATACTGGGTGTTCCATTTAAAATAACCAAGTTATTGCTGTTTAAAGTTGAGAGAAGTATTCAGCAGTTTTTTGAACACCCTGTATAATACTAAGTGACGACAAATATAACAATTTATAACTTCAAGGATCTAAAATAGACCCTCCAAAGCTGCTTCCTTAAAATTATTTTTTTATTGCTAATATTAAATTTCTACGCTATGCCTGCATTTTCACTAAAATTGAAATATCTCACAAACTGTAAGTCCTAGGTATGCAGAACCTTTAATAAAGTTCACCTATTTTTTTACGGTGCTTTCAAAAATGCAGTAAAATACAGGGTGTTCCATTTAAAAAAACATAACTTTGATATGGTACGCTTTTCCTGAACACCCTGTATATCTCAAAATATTTTTAAAATGTAGCTGTAATCAACCTACACATACCCACCTAAACAGGTTTCTGTAATATTTGCCATTTGGTCACTAGCGACCGAGGCGTTACTGGTGGCCCACCCTGTATATCACATACATATTCACCATGTAATATGTATAAGGTATATATCACAAACATTTTTTTAATTATTATCGATAATTATTGATATAGACAAGATTCTAAGCAATGTTAAAAACTCTAAAAAGAAAATGCAAATAGTCCAAAAGGTTCTGATGGGAAACAAAAAAAAATTTGAATCAAATTTCACAGTCATATATCAATTTAGAAAGCTAAAGCATTAATTACCCTTATTAAGGTTAACAAAGTAACTTCCAGGAGCAAACTTGCTCTAAAAAATATGTACAGGGCTGGAAAATCCACATGGTCCATCTGCCTTTACATGAGAGCAACAAAGTAAAGTAAAGAAATCCGTGCGATAGACAAGGATGGCTATAGTGAAGACGCTTCATAATCTGAATAGCCACCACCCGTTTCAGGTTAGAAGTGGGAGTGACTATTCAGATTATAAAACGTCTTCAATGTAACCATCCTTGTCTATCGCACGGATTTCTATGACTTACTTTATTGCTCTCATGTAACGGCCGATGTACCATGGGGACTTTCCGAACCTGTATACATACTTTAATTTAACTTATGCTTTAATTTATCAACATAACTTTTTCCAATTGCCTCCATAAGTTTTGTTTACCTTGGATATACAGGCTTGTCATACGTATTTATTTATAGAAATCCTAATGATAAAATTATCCCACTGACCCACTGTGTACTTTTTGTTTGTCAGTGTAAATCTCCTGGATAGACAGGATGATTTATAACAGATGGTGAAAAATTTTGGGGTAGATACCAGTAGATACCAATTCAATATATTTTTTTTATTAATAAACTTTTTACAAAATCTCAATAATTAAGAGGATACAGCAGATTTATTTTTATTTTATTTCAATAAAGGAAATTTACATTTTAAAGTTAAATTGGAGTATGTGAGTTAGCTCAACTACATTTAGTTAAAAAAAATATTTAAAATAAAAGTAAATTTAAATAAATTAAAATAAGGTTTCTGGTGGAATTTATGGGGAAATATGGACAAAGAAAGTGGGACTTTTATCGATGGTTTAAATAACAACGCTTAGGGTCGAGAGTTGTCATCGTACTGAGGTTTTTATTTTACGCTGTTACTGACAATACAAAAAGTAGAGCTGTACACAATAAAAGCTGTTGAGCAGAGATGGCGCTAGTGGTAAACACAGTTTATTGTTGTTTTTGCATCTATCACTAACAGTTTCTTGATTTTTCTTTTTAATTTTTTAATGTGCAATATTTTTTGTAGAATTGTTGATAGTCACTGAATAACAAAAAAAAAAAAAACGAATAGGCAAGTTTCGTTGAATGTTTCTTGAATTACATTAACGATGACTACGTGAACATGGTAACAGTTTATGGAGTTGCAGATGAAAATGCTACATGAGCAAGATTTACGTGATCGTTCCAATACTGACAAAGCACTGTACAGAATTTCAAATAGACAGACACCTTCTCAAAAAAACCTTTCACAGGGTTATTCAAGAGAGAAAAAAGATTGGAAATTTGCAACCAAAGAAGCGCGGAAGAGCAAAGCGACATGTGGCTGATGTTGAAGCAGAAGTATTAAGAAAAGTAGGTAGTGAAACGACAACTAGTACATACCAAATTGCTAAGAAATTTGATGCTCGTTAGAACTTTATTTGGCGTACATTGAGAAAGAACGGATTACACTCTTATTATTTCTAAAAGTTACAATGAATTACAAACGAGGATGATTTTTGCAGCAGCAGAAGGTTTTCCAAGAAGCATAATTTTAGTGTAATAGGCTAGAATTGTATAAGACCTTGTAAGACCTTCATGGGACTCTTTGAATTGCCAGAATGTGTCAATAGCAAATATTACTTGCATTATTTACATGAAGTTTTACTAGAAGATGTTCCATTGGTTGTGCCACATAACATGTGATTTATGCATGATGGATGTCCAACATATTTGTGAGAGATTATTCGGATGATACCTTTCCGCAACTGTGATAAATTTACCAAAGCTAATCAGCTTTGGTGAATTTATTTAATGACCCCCACGTAGTCCTGATGTGAACCCATTGGAATTTTTCTTATATAGATACCTGAAAGACTGGGTACATGCATCTGAAGCCTATATAATTGAAGAATTACAAGTTTACAAATGTTGGAAAAGGTAGAGGCAGTATTTTGAACAATTTTTATACTTATGTAGTTACTGTAATATTTCCCTTTATTATTTTTTTTCTACGCAGCAGTACTCAATAAGCAATTTTTTTAGGTTTTTTAAACTGCTTCAACTTTTTAATTACTGAGATTTTGTAAAAAGTTTATTAAGTTTCCCTCCATACATTACGAATTTTCTTGTATAAGTATCATCTTACTGATACAACACTGTGTTTATAAGATATACTATCTGATAAGTCAGGTAAGGGTTGACGTTTGCCCATAAATTTTGACCTTTGTAGGCTGTAAAGATTGAGAAGATATTGAGATCGACACCTTCAGATCTAACAAATTATGCATTTATCATTATTTATTACATTTGCTACTTTTATTACCTTATTATAATAGTTTAAGTAACAAATTGTCTCTTTTTGAAGGACGCTTTCTTAGATCTGAGAGCATTGACTGTCTAACATCAAAAACTGTGGTCAATATCAACAATTAGTTGGACCCTCTTGTTCTGTATAACTATTGCTATTACTTAAAAACATTTAACTATTTTGTTACTAGGGAAACTTGGAGACATAATTTACATTGGACATTCCATGGGAACCACTGAGTTTTTCGTGTTATCTTCCTTACTACCACAAGTAGCAAAGAACGTAAAACTGATGATCGCCTTAGCACCAGCAGCTTATACGACACATATGCGATCTCCCATAAGATACTTAGCACCTTTCGTCAATGATTTTAAGTGGCTGGCCGATCACCTGGGTTTAAATGAGTTACTACCCAATTATAAATTCTACAAATTTTTAGCTTATGCATGTGAAAGGAACCACAGCAAGAAAATATGTGAGAATATCTTATTTGTTTTATGCGGATTTGATAAAGAGGAATTCAACATTCAACAACTTCCCACAATATTAAGCCATGATCCGGCTGGTGCATCTACCAAGACCGTGTTGCATTATGCTCAGGAAATAAAGAATCAAGGAAACTTTCAAGAGTACGACTATGGGACAGCAGGTAATATGATTGAATATGGAACTCCCACACCACCACAGTACAAGCTAAGTAACATAAAGAGGCCAATTTACTTAATGTATGCAGAAAATGATTTCTTTGCCAGTCCTATTGATGTTGAACGCTTGGCAAGAAAACTAACAAACCTCGTGGCAACATACAAAGTACCTCTTAATGTTTTTAACCATATCGACTTCATATTTGGAAAAGATGCATACAATTTGGTATACAAACCCATTTTAAAAGTTATGAGGAACTTTACAGATATTTAAAGGAAAAATCTATATTCAAAAATTAGGATGTTGGAAATTTTATTATTATTAATCGTATTATAGAATCATCCTTACAATACATTTTGCATTAGTGTTTAGGCTTAACTTTTTTTGAAATACACCTATGCTATAATTAATTTTTGAAATTTAAATGGGACACCATATATTATTTGCTTAAAATTAACGTGGAAAATAGCCAAATTACTTTACTTTGCATAAAAAATTATTAGAAAAATTAAAAACAGGTTAACCAAACATTTTTCGCTTCTATTAACATATTTAAACAGAAACCTCCATTAAATACAAATATCAAAAGTTGTGATTTTATTTTAATTCCAACACCCTGTATCTCAGAAATCTTTTGATCTAAAATGATTTTAAAAAACGTGTCCCTAAAGTTATGACACAAACTTAAAAAAACAGTACAGTGGAACCCCGATTATCCGTGTGCGGATTGTCCGGATTGCGGATTATCCGTGCTATGTCTAGGAATTTGTGGTGACGCGTTATTTTGAGTTTTTGGTCAGCAAAGCCCGTACAACATCATGTGTTGTGGCTAATGCTTCTAATCTGCAGAACTTGCAAATATTCTATTAGCCCATTTTGAGATAAGTCGACATTTTAAACTTACATAAAATATGTCAGAAAATAAAGAATAACAGAAAAAGTTATATGGACCAAAATGACTGACTGTTTAAAAAGTACAGCTAGGTACTTAAAATAAATGTACCTTGCATTTTAAATGTTTTGTTTACGTCAATGTTTATATAAAAAATAAATGTTTTTATTATCGGTGTTTTTCAATTATCCGTGCCACGCTCGGTCCCGTAGATCGCGGATAATCGGAGTTCTATATAATGTAATATATTAGATTTTTCTAAAAAGTTTTAATGCAAAGAATCTAATACGAAAACAATTTTTTTGGAGTTTCCACAAATGTTCAATAAAAATTTTCTGGCAAAAATAAATTGCAATTTTCCCATATCTACTTATTTTACAAGTGTTCGACACTATTGAGAAATGAACTGTAGGTACGATCCTATGATTTATAAATAAATAAATTTCTTTCACTATTCAGTTAGCTAATGAAAATGTATACTTAAAAAGTTAAATAATTTATCAAATATGTTGGATGCCTTCATATGTAGGCTCAATAAACATAAACATAAATAAAAACATTTTTGATTTTCATTGTAGATCTTAAAAATGCATATATTTGGAAACACTAACTCTCTAAAAATTGTCCAAATGCCACAATTTTTTGTTTATTTTTATTATACAAATTTTTTTAAAGCATTTCTTATGCAAAATCTAATATACAGGGTGATTCAATAATGGTACGGAGTGGCTGTACATAGGAAACTAGGCATGCTGCAATTATGGGGTAAAAAATCTATTAACAAATACGGACAAAAGAAATTGATTCTCCACTAGGGGGCGCAACTACTATAGTATTACAGAAAATTGTTATTTTTCCGGAACTTCGCTTATATAACCTAAGTTGAAAACACTTTAGTTTCATTGTTAAACCCTTCACAAGTTTTGTTTGAACTTTTTTTTTTTGTTATTACCATAGCAACGCCAGTATGAAGGACGACGCCATCTTGAAAGTTTTAAATTGTCTTAACTTCTAAATGCCTTAATCGATTTCAATAAACGATAGCTCATTTTAAAGAACTATTAATAAAATTTATATTTATGATATGGGAATAAAAATATTATTTTCCTGCGCAACGGTAGACGATACTATTTAGAAAAGTTTTGTAATTGTCTCCGTTTACTAAAAAAATTAAATACGATATAGTTTTTTTTTTCATGGCTTGATAGACCATTCATTAAGGAAAACAAATACACAAACCGGGGGTCGATAGCTTTATTTTTTTCAAGCTATAGCTACAATAGTGAAGTTGTGCTAGAACATCCTCTTTTATTTAGTTCTCTAAATAATGTTGACATGATCCAAGCCAAAATTAAATTCTGAAAGCTTCCTTGGTCTTTAAAAAAATATTTGCTTTATTTTGAAATTTTTTTAATATGTAGGTACAATTTTTAATTTTTTTTTTATTAATTCCATATCTGAGTATTTTATAAAGATTATTGTTTCCATAAGGTAGGCTATGTCTTATGACATTAGACAATTGAAAAATTATGCCAAACAAAATGTGACAGCTCTTACAACGTGCAAAATTAGTGTTGTTTGTGTCGGAAAAGTACTTGTGAACAAGGAATATGCCTTTTACGAATGTGGAAGACATCGCCGTGCAAGAACGAAAGATAATATTATTAATATATTGGCTTGTATCCATGTAAATCCCCAAATAATAAGTGTTACGGAATTAGTTAGAGATCTGGGAACACAAGTACTTTTCTCACACAAATGGCACTAATTTTGTACGAAGAAAGAGCTATCACATATCGTTTGACATAATTTTTCATTTGTCTATTTTCATAGGACATAGCCTGCCTCGTTATATAATCTTTATAAATACTCAGGTATTTGGAATTAATGAAAAAATGAAACATTGCAGTTATCAAAAAAATTTCAAAATACAGCAAGTACTTTTTTGGTATAGTTTTATAATTTAATTTTGGCTTGGACTATGTCAATGTTATTTAGAGAACTCAATAAAGGAGGATGTTCTAGCACAACTTCAATATTTTAGCAATAACTTGAAAAAGAAAGAAGATATCGACCATCGGTTTGTGTATTTGTTTTCCTTAATAAATGGTCTATCAATTTTTTTTTTTTTTATGAAAAAAAACCTATATCGTTGCATTTAATTTTTTTAGTAAACGGGACAATGACAAAACTTTTCTAATTAGCGTCGTCTACCGTTGCACAGGAAAATATAAATTTTATTAATAGTTCTTTAAAATGCGCCGTCGTTTATTGAAATCGATTAAGGCATTTCGAAGTTTAAAGAAATTTTAAAATTTCAAGTCCTTTATACTGGCGTTGCTATGCTAATAACAAAAAAAAAAGTTCAAACGAAACTTATGAAGGGTTTAACAGTGTATCTAAAAAGTGCATTTTCAACTAAGCAAAATTTCGAAAAAACCACAACTTTCTTTAACACTATAGCAGTTGCGCCTAGTGATGGCCGTAGGGAATATTCCCATTTTGGAAAAATTCAGAAATGGGAATTTTCCTGTGTTAATAAATTCCCAGTTTGCGGGAATTTATATTAGGTTAGGTTAGATTAAGTAAAGGGGTTCTGAGGTAGGTCCCTTCTGTTTTTTTTTTGTTTTCGTTTATTTCCACTTCCATTTTTTTGTTTGAGAAATCAGAATTTATTTTTTTGTTATTAGACATAACATGTTTATTGGAAATATTATTTTTGTTTAAAAATGGCTTTTAATAAAAAAATCCCTAAAAATTCCCAAGTTGGAAATATTCCCGGGAAGATTCACAGGGAATATTCCCTAAAAATAAATTCCCGGGAATTTTCCATCTCTCAAAATATTTTATATTAATTTCTTTTGGCCTTATTTGTTAATAGATTTTTTACCCCATAATTGTTGCATGTCTAGTTTCCTATATACAATCGCTTCATACTGTTAATGGATCACCCTGTATAATTCGTCTTTCTACATCCTTCAAAATGCGCAATTTCTTTAAAGACCTCTTATTTTTTAAATTTCATGTACCAGTTTCTGTTATCATTTATTTTATCAACTTCTATTTTCCGAAATTAACATTGAAAAAAAAAATGTATTTTTACATGAATAATTTAATTTAAATAAAATTGCAATAGGCATCATGGCCTATAGAATAACATGGTGTCATTAGACTTTAGGAAAGATATTAATGATATTTTTCAAACAATTGATTCCTAAAAAAAAAAAATATTTTAATGTTTCTAAATATATGCCTATTTAAGATTTATTTCAAAAGAAATGTTTGAGTATCATTTGTTTCTTACATACCATGTTAATGGTTTGCATACCTGTATAAAATGATATGAAAAATATAGCAGTGTTTTAATCCAGTGGTGTTTGTACTTACAATGTTTAATGTAATCATTACAAAGCTTTAAAGTCTGTATTGTTATGTGATATCATATAAATAAAAGTATTGTATATTTTTAAAATGTTCTTTTACCTATCATTTACAGATGAATAAATCACTTAAAAAATATTTTGTGGTGCTAATAGTCTAAGAGATTGGTTTCAAAATCCCCCATGATCGGATTAATGGCCAATTTTGTTTTTAATGTGTTGGTCGTATGTTGTATAACAGGGTTTCAGAGTTTGCTGATACCCCTTGTGGGGCAGGGGTTGGGGGTGCGGGGGTAAATACGAAAATCGCCCCGTGATCAGATGGATGTCAGCAACTCATAATATATATTCTAGACCTTTGGGGAAGTACGAAAATAAAAGTTGCTGACAGCCTAGTTGGGGCAGGGGCGTTTAAAACGGGGTCAAATATACCACTTACCGAGCGCGCAAACTGTATGCGTAGTCCAGACGGTATCTGTTTCGGGTTGGGTAAAACGCATATGATCGTAGATTTTTGCTTTAATGGCTTCCAAATAACATCAGGAATGATAATTTTTCTATGCAAATAAAAAAACACGTGGGTTTAATTGTTATTGCAAAAAAAATCATTTTTTTCTTGGATTTCTTGTCGACAACTTAGCAACTATTCATTTTAGGCAAAAAAGGAAGATAGAGTTAGTTGCAGTTCAAAAAAATAATTATTGTTATTGCAAAAATCGTAAAAATCATTTAAAAATTACAAAAAAGCTAGTTTATTTGTCAATTTTTTTCAGACACTTGAATAATATCTAGGATCTTCATACTTTTCCCAATTAAACTTCTTACTGCATAGAATTATCACACCAAATTTCATCCAGTTCGGTTCAATAGTTTTTACATAATACCTAATTGTTTAAATTTTTTTTTCAAATTAAAAAATTTTCAAAAACAAATTTCTAAAAATCTAAAGCCTTTGAATACTTGAAAATTTCATCACAGAAAGAAGAGTCCTCAAGCTTTAAAATGGTTTTTGAAAAATTCATATCGGACGATTAGGCGAGCCGTGGTGATTGTTTAATCATTTTCGCAATTTTCACGCTTATAAACAATTGCAATAATTTAACGTTTTTTTCAATTTTTTTTATTTTAAAATATGGTTTGAAGCTACTCGGAAAGACGAATATTTATATCTGGAAAGTACTCAAAATGACAAACCTATTAGTTAAAAAAACAGCCCTTATATCCTTATAGTTTTGCTGTAAATATGGGTTAACTTTAACGGGCTATAACTCCAAAAATAAAGGGCAGATC